CAGGTCCCATAATGTCAAGTGTTCTCAACATCCTAAGTCTATCACTTTTTCTTTTTGGAATTTCAACATGCTTGGCCTTTTTCCTTGTTGGTATCATACTTTTCACCTATTATGACAACACAATTTACTAAACTAATTAACATAAAACAAAAAACATGACCAGTTTGTAACTTACATGATCACTCATACTTGGCTTATAAGTAGTTGCTTGGTCTTTTTATTTGTTGGTATCAATTGGAATTGGTTTGACAATAGACTTAGGCATATTTGATTTTAAACCAATGAATGTTCTAAAAATATCAGTTGGCATTGGTTTGACAGTAAATTTAGGAACTTTTGGTTTTGTACCAATGAATTTCCCGACAGGTTGTTGTGTAGGATTAGGTGATGCAACATTAGTATCAAAACTAATATGGTTAACATTAGTAGGCTGTTTAGAAGGAACAAGTGGTTTTGTAGGACTAGTATCAACACTAAATGCTTCAATGTCTATTATGTCTTGATATTCAACAGTACTGCCAAGGCATCATGCTATATCTCTAAATACCTTCTTATTGCCTCACCAGAACATATAGAAACCTGTATTGCATGTTTATTAGAAGCTATTGCACGAGTCATATCAAGTTGAGTAGGAGTCATATTAGGTTGAGAATATTGTGCCTATTCCTGTGCAAATTGAGACAACTCATTGACAAGAATAAATGATAGTAAAAAAAAAATTATGTCAAGAATGAGTTATAATAACCCTTTACTTTGGTCATGTCTGCACAGTTAGAGTTTGGCTTCCTTGAGTGGGTGTTTAAACATTTCTTGGCAATTCACCACAAACAACTGCAATTTGTTTATTTTTCTTACATGTTCTGGTGTTTCAACATGTCTTGCACTCGTTGCTTGTGTTTGTTCTTTACCATCTTGTTTAGGATGCCTCTTATAGATCTCCTCTATGGAGTTTCTTTGGCCTCCCTAGACCTCTCTTGAACATTGGTGGCAATATTTCAGGATCAGTAGTCCTTGGCCATTTGTTTTACCCATTTATGGGAGTGATAAATTCATTGTAACATGATATATAAATGGTTCTATGATAACAATTGTGTACATACTTGATGGGATCATCGACTTTTCTATGTATTGCAGCAACACCATGTCTACATGGGATCCCAACCAAATCCCAAAAGTTAGATGAACAAGTATGTTTTGCCAAGTTTACAACACAACTATATATGAACATGACATGTGTTACTTGAAATGTTAATCTCCCTGCATATGTTGGCAACCAATTTTCAATTTTATCTATCTCTATATCTAACCTCCTAACTGGTTTAGAAATTATCTCCCCCCTTGTAATTTTTTACCTTTTCCCTAAGTGTGGCAAACCTATCCATAAGGTAGTTCCTAATCCCCTCAAACATGGTTATAATAGGATTACCCCTTTGCATAAATAGAGTTGCATTGAATGATTTACTAAGATTATTATTAGAACATCACACTTAGAGTAAAAGGGAAATGCATGCTTACACCATTTATGTTTGGGTACAACATTTAACCATTCAAAAGCATCTAAACTTACCTCCTCAATTTGAATCATCTTAGCTTCACGTGCTTCATAAAAGGTTGCCTTTACTGCAACCACAATGATATCTCTAAATAATGTACCACCTCAAACTTCTTCTTGAAGTTAATATATAAAGCTCTTTTACAAAACCTGTGTTCAAATCCAGAACATTCTTCCTCAAATACTTGCGCAAGTCCTTGTACAAATGATAATGCAGAACATTAGTAAACTAAAATGACAAATAATTAATAACCACTAATGGAACATTACACATACCTTTTTCTTATCAGATATGAAGCACCACATACTATCACCACCGATGTCATCAAGAAGTAACTTAACAGACAATCTCAAAGAGTACTTGGTTTCATTCTCTACAACCCCAAAGGCAATAAGAAGATACTAGTCATTGACATCCCTCCCAATAACAATCAACAAAATTCCAATATATTTGTTCTTTAAGTGACATCCATCTAATCCTATGAATGATATAAGTGCAACTTTCAATGCTTTCATTGTCCCATCAAAACACATGTAACTCATTTCAAACCTTGGTTGCAAGCCAGGCGTTGGTCTTCCAAATTTTAACTTGAATGTGTTTCCTTGAGATGCACTCCTAAATTCAACACCATGTAACCATAACATACTATAATGCTTGGTTGAGTCCCCTTCAACAACCTGTCTAGCTAACTGCCTATTTTGAAAGCCATATATCCAGTGGTTTATGCAGTAAACCTCAATCTTACATCTTCTACAACTTTTTTAATTTCATATTTGTATTATTCTTCAACTTGTCTACAATCATTCTAGCAACCCAATCAACATTGGCATTCTTTTTGAAGAAATTTCTTCCACATTTGTGTTTCGGAAACAAAGTTTTGGTCTTAAATGTTATATTTATTAAAATTATGATGCATATCACAATGTAGTCGCAATGACTTTTGTCCTCACAAACAACCATACAACTATTCCCATCATTTTTGGCAAATCTTACCTCCCCACCATTCAACATATTATGTTCCAGTATAAACTTATTTAATTGCTTCAGAGATGAAAATCCCATCCCCACCTTGAATGTGAAATCCTTTCTAAGTGTTTCCTTTTCATTAAACTTAATCAATGTCGGCCTGTCATCACAACTATCTTCATCTTCCCAACTATCAAGTTCATCTGTCATATAATCTTCTTCTATAACATATTCCCTATCCATCTCTACCATGATAAAAACTCGGTTAGTTAATTGACTTGTACCAATACCATCAACATTCTCCATTATACTCTCACCTTTATTCGCCCTAATGCTCAACCCTTCATCAAGGTCTTCATCAAAATTATGCATTCTCTTTTCTTGACTATCTTCAAAGTGTATACTATCCATAAAGTCATCACTTGATTCACTGTCCTAAGCACTTTCCTCGACACTTTCATGTCCCTTTTGATTCTCTATTAACCTCTTTATTTAAGTCTTCTCACCCATTAATAATTTTGGCTTTGTATATATTTTAACATCACAATTATTCTTCTCAGCAAACAAAGCTAACAATGATTCATCCTCATTGTTCTTAAAAGGTTTTAGATCCTTTTAAAGAGAACCATCTTTATGTTTCCACCATATTTTCACATCATCAAGATTAAAGACTGAGTCTATCACCTTTATTAAGTCATGAGCTTCAAAGAAGGACCAAAAATCAGAGTCTTGTCCATTGAATGCATAAATATCCCCATCCTTATACCTTAACTTTGCATCCTTTACAAATGAACCATTGGTGTAAAATACCACCTTAATAACCCCATATCCTATACATTACAAATATGAAAGAGGGTAAATTAGAGATTACATTCACAGTTAACATGAAAAAATCCTAGATGTTTACAGTCAACACAACAAAGCACACATGCAGTCATTTCATAACTAAGTGGGACATAACAAAGACATACGATATTGGAGAACATAAACAATTCATAATACAACAAAACAACACGAAAGCACATATGGGAATAACCTCAATGGTGGAACCACAACAAACACAAATTTAAATTAATGTAATATTCTTACAGCGTATGCAAAATCATCAATGTTGGGACCACAACTACCGAAATGTGAAATAGTTAAAGTTGTTGGGACCACATGTTTCAATGGAGCACATATGTGTCTTCAATGGAAAAGAAGGTGTGACGACGAGGACATGACCACAACTGAGAGTGAAGAAAACACGATTAGGGATTTAGTTTGAGTTTTAGGGTTTCTGGTAAAACATGTGTATTGGCAGTAAAATAGAAAAATAAATCAGTTAAAAAACAATATTTTTAATTCACTTGTACTGCCACATGAGCACTCGTTAGTGGTATTTAACGTCAGGGACCAATTGTATGGATGAAATTTTCTAGAGGGACAATTATTTGAAGGAAATTTTTAGAGGGACTAAAAATGAAAATGAATATTTTTTTTTTGGAAATAAAGAAACTTTATTAAACCAAATGGGCAAAAAAGTACAAGACTAAAACAACCAAGTAAACAAAACAAATCAACCTCTAATCTAACATAAGGTTAGCTAAGTGATGCTTAATCTTAGGATAACACCACCCCTTATAAGTAAGAGTTTCAATCATTATACCCCCAATATCACTATTATTTACACTGTTTACAAAAAATACTATTATTCATATATCTCCAAGCTTCATAGATCATTTCTACCACAAAACTTAGAAGCATTTAAGCTTACCAACCTTTGCGTTTCCCTTTTCTAATCAACCATTACTTCTCCTCTTCCCAACATTGAGGCCTGTGATCCACCTTCATCTAATCAATGACCTTAATCCAATGATTCTTTTTGGCGCGACAACAGGAAAAACTGAACAAGGCTTTCTTTGGTCTCAGGGAAGAAAGTGTACCTATCATCACTATGCATACCAAATCTCTTGAGTCTCTCTTTGGTAGATAACATGCAATGACACACAAGCCAAAGACTGAACAAAGCTCTAGGCCGAGCCACACTTTTTTGCAACAACACTTTCCAATTTACAATAGGAGCATCATCTCTTATGTTCTCATACATCTTCCTCACGTTGAAATGATCCTCCATGATATTCTAATCCTGCATATTGCTCACAATTACCTGATGCTTTAACACATTCTTGACAATCCAAGAAGTGTTTTGGTTCAGTTTCACACTACTCATGTCCTGGCCTTTGAATAGAGCATGTGGATCCATTTGATCCACAAAGTGTCTTTCTTATTACCAAGATTCCACAACAATTTAGTGAGGCACATCTTGTTCCACTCAGCCAGAGAAGTCACATTCAAACCACCATTGTGCTTAGGTCTACAAACCTGATTCCAAGCAACCATGGATTTCTTCAACTTAGTATCTTTTCTAGTCCACAAGAAAGAGAGACATATAGATTCAATAGTGTGGATAACCTTCTTTGGAAAGGGAAGAAAATGCATCTAATAAGATGTCATGGCAGTAGCGACACTTTGGATCAATTGCACTCTACTAGCATAGCTTAACAACTTTAAACTCCAATGCTTAATTCGCTTCACAATCCTATCCACCAGGCCCATGTAGTGGCTTATAGAAAGCTTCCTGCTTGTGAGAGGGACCCCAAGGTACCTAAAAGGAAGATTCCCATTAGGGAAAAAGGTGATACCATAAATATTATTCTTCACAGTCTGCTCCACTCCACCATAGTACACATTGCACTTAGAAGAGTTCACAAACAAGCCTGTCGCCCTAGAGAAAGCTATCACCTTCTCCAAAAGAAGCTCAATGGATCTGCTGTCACCACGAGAGAAAAGGAGTAAATCATCAGCAAAGCTGATGTTGATGATCTACAGGCTCTCACACTTAGCATGAAAGTTAAAGTCAGGTATCTTATTCAACCTATGCACACTTCTATGAAAATATTCCATTACAATGACAAAGAATAAAGGTGATATAGGGTCACCTTGCCTAAGGCCCCTTTTAGCTCTCATGAATATGGTGTGAAACCCTCCAATATTAAACATGTAGGAGACAATTGAAACAACCACCATTACCCATTTAACAAACTGGTTGGGGAAGCCAAGCTCTTTTAGGATACTCTCCAAGGCAAACCATTCAACCGTGTCATAAGCTTTTTGAATATCAAGCTGCAACATGCATTTAGGAGTACCACCTTTCCTAATATAGCCTTTAATTAGCTCATAAGCCAAGAGGATATGATCATGAATGCTTTGCCCAGGTACAAAGACAACCTGACTTTGATTGATAATATTGCTCATAACTTTGCTAAGTCTACCTATCAAAACTTTAGAAATTATCTTCTAAACAGTTGTGCAACATGAGATAGGTCTGATGTCCCTTATAGTCTTGCCTTCATTGCCTTTGGGGGATGAGGGACACAAGGGTGGAGTTGAAAATATGGTAGATGTTGTTATGATGGAAAAATCCAAAATAACATCAATAACATCTTGCTTAACAACAGTCCAAGAGGCCTTGAAGAACTTAGCCCCAAAACCATCTACACCTAGAGCTTTTAGGTCCCCAGTGTCTTTTAAGGTCTGAAGAATTTCATTCTCAGTTACAGGCATTACCAGCATATCCCTTTGGTCAAAGGTAATTTGTGGGCCCTTTCTCATAGCAACCAAATCAATACCAATAAGCTCCTTATTGGATTTTCCCATAAGACTGCCATAAAACTCAAGAATTTCATTCTCAATCTAGCTTGGGATGACAACGAAATAAGTTCTTCATCAGACTCCGATAATGATCAAAGCGCAAATCTAGCATTGATGGCATCACATCATTCCGACGATGAAGACAGTAAGGTTAGTAGTGATTTTTCAATTTTTGATAGTGTTTCTCAAGGAGCAATTGATGAACTTTTAAGTGAATGCAAAATTCTATATAAAACTATTTCATCTCAAAAGAAACAAATATCAACTTTAGAAGAAAATATTGAGAAAATGGAAAATAATTTTAAAGATGAAAAAGAAGAATTAATTAAGAATTTTGCATGCACTAAATGTGAGTCACTTTCTTTTCAAATAGTCCAATTAAAAAGGGTCCTAGAAAGATACGAAAAAGGACAAATTGGATTGGAATGTGTTCTTAGTAATCAAAGATACTCAAATGATAAAAGTGGTCTTGGTTACTCAATATTTTCTAAACAAACTTCTAACAAGACCATCTTTGTCAAAGCTAAAGAACAAATTCCTATGGAAAAAGGTGACAATCATAAAATGATTCATCAATATGACAAAAAGAAAAGAAACAATAAGAAGAAATCTTATCCCCCTAGATATAAAAGCAACTTTGAGCCTACGTGGTTCTATTATGGTATAAAAGGTCATACTCCAAATGCATGTTTAATAACGCGAAAATATATATTATAAATGCCGTATTTTTCATCTATTAATGTCTGGTTTCACCCTGATTTCGGACTTCTCCGCATTGTTTGTCAAGTGTTTTTGCAGGTATATGAAGCTTACACTAAAATAGAACAAGACAAGACAAAAACAAATGTTCGAAGATACAAGACAGAAGAAAAAGAATGAAAAATAGCAGAAATGAGATTTTGCTGATATGACGGTCGTCACAGGTCCTTTACGACCGTCACGAGTGTCACGACCGTCACATTCATTACGATCGTCATGCTCATCACGACCATCACATACCATCACGATCGTCACACTTGAAAAAATTGAATAACGTTCACTTCTGAGAACGTGTAAACAGAAGCCCAAAAAATATAACCACGTCTCCCTGGATTCTCTCACCCTCAACTCCACTTCCTGAGGTATTTCACGTAAGAAACCTCCACTATAAAAGGAGAAGTCCAGGACTGGAATCGACGAGTGACATTGAAGATCACGAAGTGCTGCCCAATTTTACTACAAAAGCCAAACATTGTTCCTGCTTTCCTTTTTCTTTATTTTCCTTTAAAATTCCAGTTGTACTGTTTGCTTTAATTTTCTGTACGTAACTGTCACCGAAGTAATAATCCTGCCGACATTGTGGGGGATTACTCAAGTGCCGAAGCTGAATTATTTACAGGTTCATTACTAGTAATTAAGTTTCCATTTGCCATTATAATGTATGTTTACATATTCTTCTGTTTTCATTCAATTATGTCTGCTTTAAAATCCATGTCTAGCTAAACCGTATCGATCGGTATGTAATAAATTAGTAGGACGGGATTCGATAATATCCGGTGTTTTTCCACTTTTTCAAACTTGTTTCTGGCCGTAGTTTTTAATCTAAATTTATTAAACTAAACTTCGTCGCGACAGCGAGAATTTGTTTATAGTAATCTCGCCACGACAGTGGGAGATTCATTAAGGTACGGACCGACATGCGAAAGCTGAGGCTAAGACTAGATAGTAAAAACTAGGCATTTATTTTAAATACAATGAAAGCACTTTAAAAGAAATTAGAACTCAATGGTTTTCAAAAATCAATTTTAACCCCGAATGGGATAGCGAAAGCATACATTCCGCCTTAGAGTTGCGACTAGCGTCAACAACCAACGTGAGAAAAAAGTCTTTAAACCGTTATTTTCTTCTGAAAACTATTTTGAAATTATTAAACTACGTCGGTGACTTGTCGAATCCTCGAAGAACTAAGGCATTGCATACCGATTTCCCGTATTAATATTCTAAAAACCCTTTTAGCCTTTCTTTAATTTAGCCTTTACTTTTGCATCCATTCCCTTAAACCCTATCCAACCTAGCTAAACATAGTAACACCCGAGAACACTAGTTTGATTACGAGTCCTTGTGGGATCGATATCTTTTATTACTACGCGATAGACTGTGCACTTGCAGTTAGTTCGGTTAGACTCAGAAAGTCGCGATCAATGTTGTGTTAGAAATTTTGGTGTTGCTCAAGGTCATTATGTATGGGTAAAGAAAGGAACTAACTGTGAAGGACCCAAGGCAATTTGGGTACCTAATAAAACTTAACTCTTGTTGTAGGTATGCTTGAAGACCTCTTCAAATCAATGGTATCTTGATGGTGGATGTTCGAGGCACATGACGGGTGATTTAAGCAAAATTTCACATCTAACGCTTAAGGCCAAAGGATTTGTTACTTATGGTGACAACAACAAAGTAAGAATCCTTGGCGTAGGCATTGTTGGTTCACCGCCTTCAACAACTATAGAAGATGTCCTATATGTGGAAGATCTAAAGCATAGTCTCCTTAGCATTAGCCAATTGTGTGACCGAGGTTTCAAAATCAACTTCACTAAAAATGAATGCTTGATTGAAAACGAAGTTACTCATGAAGTTATGCTAAAAGGTAAAAGAGTTAATAACATTTTCGTAATTTCCTTAGATAACTTGTCTTTGAATGTTAGGTGTCTCTTGGCAAGCAACAATGAATCATGGTTATGGCATAAGAGATTTGCTCATATTCATATGGAGCACTTGAATAAATTGATCAAACATGACTTGGTTATTGGATTGCCAAAGATCAAATTCATCAAAGATAGGTTATGTGACGCTTGTCAAAAAGGAAAGCAAACTAAATCAACTTTCACATCCAAGAATGTGGTGTCCACAACTAGGCCACTACAATTGTTGCACATGGGTCTCTTTGGTCCATCAAGAACAAAAAGCTTTGGAGGTAATGTTTATGCATTAGTAATTATAGATGATTTTTCTATATACACTTGGACTTTCTTCTTAATATAGAAAATTGAAGCATTCAAAGCATTCAAGAAGTATGCAAAATAAATAAAAAATGAGAAGTCTCTTACAATTGCCTCCATTAGAAGCGACCACGGTGGAGAATTCCAAAACGCCTTATTTGAAGAATTTTGTGAAGAACATGGAATTTCACACAACTTCTCCGACCAAGAACTCCATAACAAAATGGTGTCGTAGAAAGGAAGAATAGGACATTGGTGGAACTTGCAAGGACAATGCTAAGTGATTCAAATCTTCCTAAGTACTTTTGGGCGGATGCGGTGAGTATGTCATGCTTTGTATGTAACCGTGTTAATATTAGGCTTATTCTCAAGAAAACTCCTTATGAACTCTTCAAAGGGAGAAAACCAAATATTTCATTCTTTCATATTTTTGGATGTAAGTGCTTTGTCCTAAACAACGACAAAGACAACCTTGGTAAGTTTGACGAGAAATCCGATGAAGGTATATTTCTTGGTTAGTCTCTTACTAGTAAAGCTTTTAGAATTTACAATAAAAGAACTTTATCTATAGAAGAATCTATGCATGTCAAATTTGATGAATCTAACCCATCCAAGGAGGATATTGTGGTTTGTGATGATGATAATGATGATTTTGTAAAAATGCCCGAAGAAGATACTTCTAAAGGTATCATTAAAGAACATCATGATAGACCGGTTCATCAAGATTCCAATGTCAACGATCTATTAAAAGAATGGAGGATTCATAGAGATCATCCTATTGACAAAGGGATTGGAGACATAAGTCAAGGTGTTGCTACAGATTAAATCTCAAAGATGCATGCTTGAACATGACATTCGTGTCTCAAATAGAACCTTCCAAAGTTGATGAAGCTCTTGAAGATGATCAATGGATTATTGCTATGCAAGAAGAATTAAACCAATTCGAGAGAAATCAAGTTTGGGAACTTGTTTCTAGACTAAGAGATAAACATATTATTGTAACAAGATGGGTGTTTAAGAACAAACTTGATGAGAATGGAATAATTGTTCGAAACAAAGAAAGATTGGTGGCTGAAGGGTACAATCAAGAGGAAGGAATTGACTTTGAAGAAACATTCGCTCCGGTTGCAAGGTTAGAAGATATTCATTTATTACTTGCTTATGCTTGTTCAATGAACTTTTAGCTATTTCAAATGGACGTCAAAAGCGCTTTCTTGAACGGATACATCAACGAAGAAGTCTATGTCAAACAACCCCTGGGTTTTGAAGACTTCAAGCATCCTTCACATGTATACAGATTGAAGAAAGCCCTCTATGGACTAAAACAAGCACCAAGGGCATGGTATGATCGTCTAAGTAATTTCTTATGCGAAAAAGGTTTTAAAAAAGGAAAGGTAGACAAGACTTTACTCATTAAAAAGATAAAGGATAATACCTTACTTGTTCAAGTCTATGTGAACAACATCATCTTCGGTTCAACAAACAAGGAACTATGTGAAGAATTTGCGTTGTTGATGCAAGACGAGTTTGAAATGTCTATGATGGGTAAGATGAATTACTTCCTTGGATTTCAAATCAAGCAACTAAAAGACGAAATATTTATCAACCAATCAAAGTATTGCAAAGAGTTGTTAAAGAGATTTGATATGGATGGGTGTAAAACTATGTCAACACCAATGGGATCTAGAACCTACTTCGATCAAGACGAATCGGGAACATCGGTTGATATTACAAAGTATTGAGGTATGATTGGTTATTTATTATATTTGGCGGCAAGTCGTCCTGACATAATGTTTAATGTATGTTTATGTGCTCGTTTTTAAGCAAATCCAAAGGAGTCACATCTCACGGCGGTCAAAAGAATCATGAAGCATCTCAAGGGAACAACAAACGTTAGCTTATGGTATCCTAAAGGTAATGTTTGTACTTTAATCGATTATTCTGACGCGGATTATACAGGCTGTAAAACAGATAGGAAAAGCACGA